ACCAGAAGAACATTTCAAATATACATCGCACATTTCTCACAAAGAAAAATACTGATAATAAATTGATTCTAAGAAAACGGATAAATTGCTTTTGTCTTTTTAAAAATTCTCCAACAGTAGCTCATTACGCATCCTCGGCCTAACGATTTCCACTGATAATTCTTTCATTGTAAGCAAGGCAATAAAGCCCCTAAAGCCCCTAAAAATTATCATTAACCCTGTGTTAGTTACATGGGGTGTTTTGTCAACACCCAACATTTTTAAAATACTCTATGAAAACTTGTTTCTTTTGCTTCCTCATAATGCTCTCCTGACTCTGTGGGGAGGTATAGCAGGTGGTGCGGCGAAGTTGTAACTTGGTTGTCGTTGGAGGCTACACCCTTGCTGACTATCAATTTTCGGAAATCCGAGGTGACTATCTCAGGTTTGAGGACAGAAGACCGTAACAGAACAGGAATTACAAAGACAGGAGGTAACGATTGACATTGAAATTAAATCTTTGAAGATGAAAATTGAATAGAAAGCCAGGATGTTAGGATCGAGTTCCATAAGCGAGAAGTCCGTCAGAAAAGAAAAAAAAAACTGTTAGAATAGAACTAATGGGTAAAACTATACATTGCAACTGTAAGGTGATGAGATCTTGCTGCCAATCTAATACTAAGCATAATTCTAGTTACCAATGAGGAAAGCTCAGTAGAACAATGTGGAAAAGTGACTGAAGAATAGGTGCAGATTAAAACCAATAATATTGCACATTCTTCTCTGTATTTTATCACGAATAATGACAGCAATATTTAATGCATCGACAAATGGTAGACTTATGGATATGATATGAACAATAAAGAGAACACTGTCTTTCAGCCTCCACTGTCTTGCGGCCATACTCAATTATAAGAAAAGCTTCGGGAGTAAAGAAGCATTGGATGGCAGTCGTTTTAGAGATTGTGTCTCGACAAGAACACCCGGATGTAGGGTTTGAGTCTCACATATTGTATCAGCTACCAAAAAAACTATGTTCCGACCAAATATAGAGAGGTCGAAGGATAATAATGATGATGGTATTTATCAATTCACCCACAGGAATTGAATGTGGCACAAGGCCTTTTTAATGTGGGTATGTCTGAGCCCGTAGGCCCAGCCAAAAATAAAACCCATCTAAACCCGACCAAGCGGGCTAGTTCCGTCAACCTCCCCCAACGAAACCCTACCCTTCGGCAGAGCTTCGTCCGGGTTCCTCTCTGCAAGCAGAGAGTTCGACAGACACCCGGCTCGGCAGCTCACAAAGCGCAGATACTACACTTTGATCCTAGCCACCGGGCCGAGCGGGTAGATAATAATGATGATGATATCAAGTTGTTTTAATGCAGGTCTAGACAATTTTTCTCGCTTGACTCTGTGTTGCACATGTATTAGTTTCCCATTCGACCGTGCATCAAATAAGGATTCTTGACAATATCGAAAATCATCGGCCCTTACCTGACATCTCAGCTTCAGTCATATTCTTAACGCCGTATCGATGCCTCCCTGCGCATTTTCTATCAATGAGCTCTGCTGTACGTTATCTCAACTTATTTGATGTACGTATGCCCGCTACGAGACGGTTACCTTGATCTCACAACTTTAATTTTGAAATTACTAATTCTAAGCGTCGGATCTATTTTAATTATTTCTTCCCTTGTACTTCTCACATGAAGAATACTTTTTCAGCTTCTTGTTTTCCTATCTTCCAAAACTCCAAAATAGAACGTAAATTATCTTTTGTCTTCCTGAGAACTGTTCCTTTATCGTCTTTTCTCCTCAGAAACTTTTTCTCAGTCTCCCTCACACCTCATGCGTCTGAGTTGCTTTATCGGCTTGTTTGGGGTGACATGATCAAAGTAGGCATACACAGTTCATAACAAAATCCATACTGATCTTTGTGGATACAATGAATGATTTCCAGTTGAATCTCTCTCCTGGCTTCCTCAGATGTATATATTATCGGCTATTCATCCAATTATGATCAACTTTGTAACAAAGATCGAAGATTGGCAGTTAGTACACAACATATGTGGAAGGCTAATGAATCCATCCCCAGAAACATAGAGAATGAAATTAAACGCTGACGATAATCGCCGTAATGACTCACCAAATAATGGTAGTACGTCGGTTAACTAATTTCTTTTCATAATATTTAGTAAATATTTTAAACTTGCCTCGTTGGTAGGATTGCTTCAAGAAGAAAGGTTTCTTCAAAGTCTACAGAGACCTATTCCTTTTCTGCTTGTAGACATTAAGGATTGTTTTTCATTCTAAAACGTTACTATAAAACTGACGAACATAGGAAGCGCTAAATATGTGTTTTGATAATTGTAGTCACCGTTTTTTCCTGATTCCGCCCCTCAACTGATAAAACCGCAGTGAGATACACATTATTATTTCTGAAATTCCAAAATGAGTCCGTACGCTGAGTCCTATATTTATGTCTAAAGAAGTGACGGTCTTCATTACATTTCAGACGTATTTCCCTTGAGTTACTTTCCCGTTTGCCGTTGTCGCTGGAGTTATAAACTAATAACACTGTTTACATCGTTCGAGCTGTTGTCCTCATCTTTATTGCCGTATTCACGACGTCTCGGCCGCTGTACGTTCTGACCTTCATCAGGTGATATAATACTTTGGAATTTAGAACCGAAACCTTTATTAGGTTGTTATAATCCACGCGCCATGCCATTTTGCTTTGATAATCTCAGTATCAGTTAATCCCTTTTAGTAACTCAACTCTCCAGGTTTTTGGAACCCTCTGCTATGGTAGCTATTTAACTTGCAACTCTTTGGATCAAGTAACTTTTTAGATTACTCAACCAATGCTTTTATCCACGTGTAAAAACATCAATGAATGTATTCTTCGGACATATAAACCTAATTTTTTTTTACTAGAACTCATATTACAATTTTTATTATTGTTATTTTTCTCTATTACTGGTTTCCATATTGTATTCATTTCTATGCTTCACCAGCTTAAAAAATTTTTGACGCATAGTATATGACCTTATTCCTGACGGGTTCGTATTTTCTAGTGAGGTTCTCTGTTTATTATTTCAACTTCATTCCACAAAGGGCGGTGATCTCCTTTTTCCTTCATGGTACGTGGAATTAGGACAATCTACCATGTGGACTAAATAAAGGGTTCGTTTTGAAACTCCAACGTATATCAGCTGAAGAAGGTCGGGGCCTACAACAGCCGAAACGTTGTGAATATAGCAATAATTATAATACCTCATCTCGGAAATATAGACAGATATTAATGATCTTGTTGAAAAGTATTCAACGCTCAAACTTTAACCTGGGTTTTCTTGAATATGTGTGTAGAGATTTTGAATATCTTGAAGTCTCCACCTCTTCAAATATTTCCCTCAGTAGGAGGTTGTTCCTGGGTGACTGAAGATTCAAATAATGATTGTTTTTTTTTAGCACTAAAACACTGTATTATCCGTAAACTTCACAGAGGACAATAACAGAAAGAAAAGGAGAAAGCGAGATTATATAGAAATGAATTAATCAAATAATAACATCTGGACTGGCATCTCATTTTTCAACTCGGCGGATATAAAGGCGGGATATTCAAAAAGATTCAAAAAAGAAGAAGAAAATAGAGATAACGCTTAATAAGGGAGGGGGTTAAACGGATGTGCACTACAACTAGATAAAAAAAAATGAAAAAAAAATGAGTAGCTGTTATATTGGGTTGGTGCATAATTATCAAGCGTTTTTTAGGAGAGATATTTCTTAATAAAAATTGCTGTTTTGTTTACTTTTTTAATAAAAATATTTATTTTCATATTATAAGAATGCATGTCGCTAATCATACGCTCCGGAATAATCATTTAAAAATGTTATTGGTCAATTGTTATGTGTTTTTTTCATAATAAATATTGTTTGAAAAAAAACACTTGATAATTATGCACCTACACAAAACGTATTCGCGATTTAATTATATATAATTTTATGTACCGTATCACTTCAGAACGTAGCCGATCATGGCTCTTCACATCTCTTAATAAGTTTGGTCTTTTTGTTACTTTTCACAATTTCTTTTCTGCCACACATTTGTTCGAGCCCATAAAATATGTTCCGCTCTGTTTTCCTTTGGCCATTTTCCCTCTATCAGTCCTGTGAGTATCAGGTTTTCCAAGTCCTTGTTCCTCAGTACGTGACCCAGAGATTTCAACTGCTCCTTTCTCCTGTTAAGTATAAGTTCTCTTCAAAACCTCGTCGATGCTCACATGTTTGATCCATGGTTTGTCTCGAACCACATTTCTGTTGCTTCAAGAGTATTTTAGCTCTTTGAGGAGATTGTCCTGTATTAGCTGCCAAACAGCAGGACAAATATCAGGTAACAGCTCAGTACACTTTTCTTTGTTTCTTTGCCGCTTAATCATCACCATTTATGAAACATCAACAATCGCAATCATCGAACCAATGAGAACGATCCTTTCTTTAGCTTTATAGTATGTGATACACCAGGAGTACATACAGTTTTGAATTCAGTGTACCTTACTCTTTTTGAGTAGTTACACATCTACTTATCATCTCTCAGTTGCGTCTCTGTCCTTGGACAAGGGCGACTCCGTCAAAGAACACAGTCGCAAATTAGAAAATTATACTGAAGAGGTGCCCAGCCCTAGGGAACAGCTGCCCGGGGCACCAGAAAGAGGGATCGGTGCTCCCTTCGAGGCCAGGGCAACCGACAGTTGCGGGGGCTCGGGGAATTTTTGTTCCTTGCCCGGGTGCACGCGCTCGGGCTCCTCACATTAAACAGACCTTGTGTCACAACCTCGTGGGGTGGGGGGTTGAGTAAATATCTAAAGTTTTGAATTCAGTGAAACGTTCTCCTAGATTGGTTGCCTCCAAGGGTATAGAACCCAGTCTGTCCTGTTATTTACCCATAGCTGTAGGGGATAGGGGAGAAGAAGAGGATCCATGCCTCTCCCAAGGTTATTAGCACGTAAGTGAGAGTAATGGATTCGACTGGAATTCAAACTCGGTTCTTTTTCCTTTCTTTCTCTATTTTGATTTTCATTCTTTCTCATTTTGCTTCTTTTTCTTTCTTTCTTTCTTCCTTTCTCGTTTTTCATTTTCTTTGCTTTTCTTTTTCTTTTCCATTATTTCTCTTTCTCTTTTTCTTTCTCTCTCTTTTTTCTTTCTCTTTTTTCCTTCTTTCTCTTTTCCTTTCTCTCTCTTTTTTCTTTCTCTTTTTTTTTCTTTCTCTTTTTCTCTTCTTTCTCTTTTTCCTTCTTTCTCTTTTTTTTCTCTCTTCTTTCTTTTTTCTTCCTTTTTCTCTTTTTCTTTCTCTCTCTTTTTTTTCTTTCTCTTTTTTTCTCTCTCTTTTTTTTTTTCTCTTTTTTTCCTTTTTCTCTCTCTTTTTTTCTCTTTTTTCCTTCTTTCTCTTTTTCTTTCTCTCTCTTTTTTCTTTCTCTTTTTCCTTCTTTCTCTTTTTCTTTCTCTCTCTTTTTTCTTTCTCTTTTTTCCTTCTTTCTCTTTCCTTTCTCTCTCTTTTTTCTTTCTCTTTTTTCCTTCTTTCTCTTTTCTTTCTCTCTCTTTTTTTCTTTCTCTTTTTTCCTTCTTTCTCTTTTCCTTTCTCTCTCTTTTTTCTTTCTCTTTTTTCCTTCTTTCTCTTTTTCTTTCTCTCTCTTTTTTCTTTCTCTTTTTTCCTTCTTTCTCTTTTTCTTTCTCTCTCTTTTTTCTTTCTCTTTTTTCCTTCTTTCTCTTTTTCTTTCTCTCTCTTTTTTCTTTCTCTTTTTTCCTTCTTTCTCTTTTTCTTTTTCTCTCCTTCCATTTTTTCTTTCCTTCCTTTGTTTTTTTTCTTTCTCTTTTTCCTTCTTTTTCTTTCTTTTTTTTTCTCTTTTTCTTTTTTTTCTTTCTCTTTTTCTCTTCTTTTTTTTCTTCTTTTTCTTTCTCTCTCTCTTTTGTTTTTCTTTCTCTTTTTCTTTCTCTCTCTTTTTCTTTCTCTTTTTCAGGGTCTGATTGAACTGTCTTAACTGGTGATCAGACCAAGCAATGGCTATGTCTTTCCATTATGAGGGTACCAGTATGGCGGTTTGCTGGCTGCTGCTTTCGACTGATCTTTAGGAGCCCAAAATCTTTGGTAGCGTTTCATCTTCATCATCATTTGTCGACGTAGTCGGTATTATCGAGCCAACGAGAACGATCCTTTCTCTCACTCTATAGTATTTGCTACGCCAGCTCTACATACAGTTTTGAATTCAGAGTTACTTGCTCCTAAATCGGTTGCCGCCCAATGCTATAGAACCCAGTCTGTCCTGCTACTTACCCACAGCTGGCGTGGGGTTGTAAAGAAAAGGATTCATACATTTCCTAAGAATATTATCACGTAAGTGAATTGTTGAAGCTTGAATAAGCATGGAATAATAATAATACAACACAAAATGTACGTAACAAAATGTATTGAAACAATGAAAAAAGGTACACAATATTTACAGGTAGTTTTGGTATATTCTTGGGAAGACTGTTCCTGCAGAATGGGTTGACTAAGTCGCAGTCGGGCAGAGTCTCTGGATTCGATCTCTTAATCTTCCGTCGTCTTCTGGTACCAACCCATATTTATATGGTCGGTACTCCACTTATGTAAATTAGGTGTATCATACACAACATGAATGTAATGGACCGACTAGAATTTGAACTCGGCTTTCCGTTTCTTCAATCCGAGCCGCTATCCATTACTCCTAGTCTTAGTTTCTCAATACTCTGCTTAGCTTTTGGAATGCATCTTTGGCCATCGCAAAACGTCTTCGGATCTCAGTGTCGCACTTACCGTCCTCTGTTAGAAAGCTTCCCATATATTTAAATTTCTGTACCTGTTGGATTTTAGTATTCCCGACCTGTAGTTTGCATTTTGACCTCATCCTTTTGCTTATGAGCATCTGTCTTCTTTAGTTTATTATTAGTCCTTCCTTCTCGTTTTCCTTCGTTACCCTCTGTAGGAGGTTTTGTAGTCTCCTTTCTCTGTCTGCTATCAGCACTGTGTCATCTGCATACTCATCTTCCTTGAGGATTTGGTTTAAAATTTTCAAATATGAATAGCAAAAAGAAACAATCCCGAAACAAAAAAAGGGAGGAAACGTAAAAAGAAAGCCCAGTGAGTATAATATGGAAATGCATTTGTAAGAGTTTCTTCAGGGAATTAAAAAGAAAAAGATAGAAACTCTCGTGGACATGATTGCGCAGAGGGCATCTCTAAAGAGAAATAAGCCCATGGTAAAATGATAGTACATTGGGACATTTGAATCTTTTATTTATTATTTTCTTTCACTGGAGTTCTTTTTTTAGTTTAACTTGAGATAAAGAAGGCCCAGACGCCTGGGAAGCAAATTTTAATAAAAATATAATCTTTATAATAAGAATATAAACTGTATAAAAAAAAAACTATTTTTTAATTTCTTTTGCACTTACAATTTTGATATGTCTTTTTTCAGCTTTTGTGACGAATATACAGACATATATATGTATATATATAAACAGCAGATCAGTAATATTGGGGTGTGTCAAAATTTAATTCTCCTGTGATTATTATTACCTTTCAAACGGGATTGGAAATTACATTATTTTTTATGTTATAGCATAAAAAAATTTCAAAAGTTATTGTACAGTGAAGTAAAGGGTGAGAAATCCTACAAACAAAATAAACGTGTTTTAAACTCATTTACTTTATATGCGTTACTAAGAAACAAAGCTGTTTTTAGAAGACACTATTAGACTTTTCTTTTGCGTTTTCTCTAAATGTAAACAGATTGATATTTTTTCTGATGACTTATGTCGGAATTTTGCCACTGAAGGAAAAAGATCTCTCAATACAAACACGGTGAATTTAAAAGCATTTTCGACAGAAAAATTGCATGGATATACGTGCGTGAAACAAATAAAATATTTATTTATTAAAATATGTTTTAAAATTGTTATTGAAATTAAACGTTACTGCTTATGTTATTAACGTGTTATATACATATATATATATACATACATACATACATATATATATATATATATATATATATATATATATATATATATATAACTTATTTAAAAATGAACAGAGCTTACTTTAACTCAATTTTAATTCAAATAATTATATTGAAGTTTTCGACTCTTGTTTTGAAACATGAGACCTCTTATGTCGAGAGTTGGAATCATATTTTTAAATAAATAATTATATTTTTTAAATAGATTTTTAAATAACTAATTATATTTATGCTCTATTTTTGTATCGAGCACTATTTTAAAAAAATAATAACTAAAATACTAAGGAACTTTGGATTATTTACCTAACCTTCCTATTTTCTATATATTTTCACATATTTTATATATATATATATATATATATATATATATATATATATATATATAAGGCCGAGAACTGATTCACTACGTACTCACTACTTTTGGCCTTGTGTCACATCTAAGGAATGCTTAGTAAATCACAATAAAGTAACGGTCGTTCTCTTTGACGTGGTGTAATCGCAGGCAAGCATATTTCGCTAGGTTAATTACGAGTGAGTTCGATCCACACTGCGTACTTACGAGATTCCTGCTTGTGTCACATCTAAGATATCCTTAGTAAATCACAATAAAGTAACTTTACATAACATTGATGTTGTGTAATAGTTAGCAGGCATATTTCGCTAGGTTAATTACGAGTGAGTTCGATACTCACTGGGTGCCTATTACTTTGGACCTTGTGTTACATTTACGATATGCTTACTCAAGCACGATAAAGTAACAGTCGTTCACTTTGACTTAATGTAATCGTAAGCGAGCATGTTTCGCTCCGATCCTCACCGGGTGCTCACAGCTTTCGCCCTCGTCACATCTAAGTAATAATTTGTAATTGAATAAAGTAACTATAGATAACTTTGACGTGATGCAATAGTTAGTAAGCATGTTTCGCTATGTTAAGTACGAGTGAGTTCGATCCTCACTGGGTGCTCTCTACTTTCGGCTTTGTGTCATATCTAAAATAAGCTTAGGAGATCACCATAATATAAATGATAGATCACTTAGACGTTCTGTAATTATTAGCTTGCTTGTCTCGATAAATTAATTACGAGTGAGTTTGATCCCCACTGGGTGGTCACTGCTTTTCTCTCTAGATCAAGTACGACTGAGTAATGAAGTCGATCCCTTATGTATGTTTCATACTTTCGGCTTTATATCAATTCTCACCAATATTAGTAAATCGCCAATCGCTTCTAGTTCGTTTTGTCAGTATGAAAGTGTAGTAGCTGTTCTCTTTTCAATTGAAATAGGAGAAGCGACCTATTACAGGAATTCCAATTCTGTGACAGTACCTTTCTCAATGGCCTCTGTGTAATATCGATGCCAACATGACAGTAGTCTCGGGGATTGGGCAGTATTTGTCCTTGTCCCATATGCGTAATTAAGTGCATTGCTTTTTGTCACACCCTGCCTAAGTGGGCAGGCGAGGTATATACCTCATTATATAATGACAGAATCCTGTGACGTTGTTCAAAAGTAAATAACGCTGCTACTCGAATCTGACGATGCCAGTCTACTAGGGCAGCTATATAATCCCCATTGCAGACGCCTGCTCAGGCACATTTGTGTTTATTCAACACCCACAGATCCCACTTGTGGTTTATACTGCAACTAAACTTAGCAGACCTTAGTTACAGTTTCTGGAGGAGAGTTCGTTATCTAACATGATCAGTAGTCTAAACAAGGCTAGCACGATCAAACCCTCGGTCACGATGACTTGTCACTTCGTGCTAGCACAACCAACGACAGCTCAGATGAAATGGCTGAAAATCTTGTATCGTTAGATCAAGTACGATTGAGTAGTGAGTTAGATCCTCACTGGGTGTTCCATATTTTTCGATCTTGCGCCACATGTAAGCTACTTTTAATAAATCGTTATTATGTAACGACATGTGCAGCAAAATATGTATGCAGCTATATTAATGTCAGTCGGCATCTTGTTAACGGAAAACATCTGAAAGATGTCACAGAAATTGTTGCAGTTTTGTGTATATATTATGTACTAGTGAGCCAGTCCAAATGACTTGACTCACTTTATAGTCCACCAATAGAAGGTTAACCAATCAGAAGACGTAGAATATTCAATCCGTCGTGTATAAAGGCAGCCATTTTTGTTTACCCTACCCGAATGTCCAGTTCCAGCTTGTCAGGCGAAGAGAAACAGAAGGACGAACTACGCTCTGCTACTTTTACCAAAATATTCACTGCTAACCTGAACAACGCTTTCCTACTGTTTTCAAAGTATTCACTGCTAACCTCTGGATTCTATACTCGAAGACGACCGTCATTATGAACAACAGAAATTGTATTAGACATTTATTACCTTGGTGATAGCCAGCTAATTGAAGTGAACCTCACAAGAATTATGTCAAACAGTCCTGACAAAGGAGTTCATTAAGCGAATCCAGACATTCGGTCTTTGATTAATTACTTTTAGACAAAGATGTGAAGAAAACGTTTACTAGCAGCCGGAAGCAGAGAGACTCACGGGACCAGATAGAAAGGGACGAGTGGAATCGCTCGCCGCTACGCGAAAAAGGAAGACTGTTCGCATTCCAACCTCTGCTTCGCTCGTCTACAGAAGGTTACAACCGAATATAATTTGGTTACTACTAAAATCTGCTCATGGTTTTATTTCGTGGGTAACAAGCCTGCGAAAGAGTTACTTTTAAGACACAAGCGTTTGACTGTAAAAAGCTGCATCCTGAGAACGAACCTGGAGTCTTGACTGAGCTACAACGTTACATGGATACGCAGAGAAAAAACTAACTTTATCCGCTTTTATGAAAGACGTGTGAGTGTTGCTACCAGATAACACCGTTATCAAGGCTTCCCGTGAATGCTAATGTCTACCGGTGTCCGCTGAATCCGATCTTTGTCGTATGTTATTCGTAATATTGTTGGTGTCAGCCATTTTGTTTTTGTTATAATTATTTACACAATAAACCTCAATCATTAACTTTGCCAC